AGTTAAACGAAATTTTTCTTTTGCTCGATAGCAATTGTTTAGCAGTTTATTTCTGTTTTACACGACATTAAAAACTTGTGAAATATTTTGATACAAAACTATAGACCAAGTTCTATATGACGATCACAAAACAAAGCGCGCTTAATTTTTCCATAAATGTATCCATTATGAGTTGGTCATTTTCATTTCCTAAGTATTGAATAAAGATAGACTTAGTGCCGGTAGTTTTGTCCGCAAATTTCGAATTTGACAGCCGTTAAAGATAATCAGGGGTTTGAATGTGCTACTTACAGTTCTTGGCCCATGCAAAACCTTGCTAAATTTAACGACGTGTCAAATTCGTTAATTGAGATCAAAAGTATCGACTCTAAGTGAGTCTAGCGATGAAAAAAAAAAATAAAACGCTGAACAAAGGGTTGGAGGTGGAGGAGAACCAGTTGGCCAAAGCCCAAATGGTGTACTAAAAAAACAGCCCCAAACGGGCAGAGCACTTCTTGCTTTCGCATTATGATTCGTTTTAGTGGATACCTCCTAAAAACTTTTCATTCGAAAGAAAACAAAATTCGAAATAAAATACACACATATTCAACCTTATGAAATTTTTGTGGTTTTTATTTTATTCGTAACGGAGTTGTAGTCAAACCAAAAATAAACTTACTAAATTTATCGGCAACAACTTCATGAGTAATTCCATGTCGAAACCACCTCCATAAGCATTCTGCTCTACAATGCAGCATTCTGCAAATCGCTCTTCCTAAGTCGTTACCATAGAGGCATATCCAGTGGTCTCCGCTGAATGCAGGACCGGATCATGTTACTGTCCTGCTGTCTTCGAAAACTATTTTCTTTCCAACAAAAAGAACATTTCTGAGTTTTTGACAGCTGTCGAAGGATTATGTACTTTACGAAAAGCTGCCAACTTAACCGCAGAAATTAAGACTTCAATTCGATATCATTATCAATATTTTCACATTTTTTTCCATTTTTGGAAAAAAGGTGCCAAAAAAAAATTGTGGCTTATAAGGCCATAATATCTCCATATGGTTTTCAATATTTTTGGATCTTGTTGGAAAGAATGTTGCAAAATTTCATTTACTTACATCAACAATAATAATTATTAAATAACTTTGATCTGATGAATAGTTCAAAAAAATATAAAGTCAAAAACACTGTGGGCCCATTTCTATGTAAACAAGTTTATATTTTGTCCAATGACTGTTGACGATTTGTTTCATTGACTTATACTGACATTTGGACAATCAAAACTCAAAATATATCAATGGCTTAGTGATTTTGTAAGTGCCTTTGAAAATGAAATATACATTTACTTACCCATGTTGCCAAAAATATTCTATATATTATATATAAGTGCCATTTAGGTGTTTTTAGTAGTTTATAAAATATTTTGTATTGAAATATATTTTTTATAAAATGTACTTCGTGCGTGCTTGCTTTCTTATTTGAACCTTGAAGTGTCAACTGTCAACACTTCATCTTAAAGAGAAGTGAGTCTTATTCAGAAGGCCACTCTGACCTTGTCTCCTAATTAAATAATTTTTTAATTTGAATTTTTAGAAACGCTGCTTTAACTGATAAACATGAATTTATATTTTTTGCTAGTGAGAATGGATTACTGGTTCAAAAAATTATTGCATTTATCAGACCTTTTTGAAATACCAATCCAAATATAATAAATCGATTGAGATTCCTTGAATATTGATTGTTAAAGCATATCTTTTGTTGTAGACTCAACTCAAGAAAATTTTTCATAACATATGAGAAAAAAATTTGTGTGCGAAGCTGTCCTACCATTTATTTGTGCCATCCTTAATCCTATGCTGTACTCAAATTCTATTTTATGAAATTGCTTGATGTATTCTACAAAAGAAAATTTGGTACATAGCACTCACAGCTAACGCGATTTATTATGTCCATAAATAAGTGCCAATTTCAAGTATTCTGATTAAACCATTCCTTAAACTTCCATTACAACGGAAGCTCTTCTCTACTTATAGACAGTATTTAATTATAACAAACAATAACAAAAATCAGCTTCAGCGTAATTCTATTATCATCACAATAGATTTTAGTAAGCACATTGGCTCACATACTAATGATCCTTCTTTTGTAGGTCGAGATACAAAAAAAACAGCCGAATACGTTATTCGGAGAATACTGGTAAACAGAGACCAGGGTGATACCAATAGGCCATTCCAATGTAAGAAGTGCTCTAAGCGATACAAACACAAGCACATTTTAAAACGTCATGTCGAGTTTGAGTGCGGAATGGAACCACGGTTCCAGTGTTCCATTTGCAGTCATAGGGCCAAAAGAAAGTACGATATGACCATTCATATTCAAACTAAACATCTTATGCGAGAGTAGGACTCAATGCTGGAAGTCATGTCATTGTTTTTTTAGTCATAGTTTAATTTTTTTAAAAGCTAGTTTAATGAAACTGTCACCTTATCGTTTAGGACGTGGTTCATGGGCGTGCGAGCAAAATATTTCTTACCTACGACCTACGGTAAATTAGTTTCTGTCTTGAGAATAGCGTTTTGAAGAAGTGTCTTGAAGGATTAAAATTTCACAATTAATAAATTAATTAGATTTTAACTGATCTAATTAATGAAATTCTTAGTATTGTCAGATGCAAAACCCAAGTAGATGCCTATAATTAGACAGTTTCATTAAGATTAGTTTAGTTCAATGTTTCACATAGATTTATAGGCTTTTATCGAATACAAATATCTTGTTGAAGTATTGTTCACCTATTTATTCAAACTCTTACTACGCTTATGCCAGTGTTCTATGACTTTCTTCTTATTTTTGGATTTGCTACCTGAGATCCCCAATATCTATTGTTCTGGAGCGGTCAAAAAGTATTCAGAGGGTGAGTGCGCCTAATGCTACCTCAGTGAGTTTTATTTTACACCTAGAATGGAATAAGTAGCCCATCTCTAAAAGTGGACTTGAGATTTAATCTAAAAGAAAATACAAAGTCTTCCTCCACAAAATACTTTAATATTTAATTTAAAGCCCTATATATTTCGAGAATAGTGATTCTCATCATCAGGGGCAAGATTGCTCACATAGGCCATTAGCAACCACTAGACTTAACTGCAAAGAACTTGAAGACTCTTCACAAAAGTAAAATTCAAATATTAAAAAAGTTTCCATATTTTATACAATTATTTTATTTTGTTAATTTATATTGACAATTATTCATTATCTTTCCTGTATTTGCTTTTTATACCGTTTTATATTTGATGTTTTAACTGTTTCTTTTCCTCTACCAAATGGTAAGTCTTTCTAAGTTCTTCAAATTCCTCAAATTTCTTTCCTTCTTTGCAGTTAAGTCTAGCGGCCTATAAACTTTTTAACATGTGAGCAATCTTGCCCCTGATGATAAGAATCACTATTCTCGAAACATATAGGGCTTTTAAAATAAATTAAAGTATTTTGTGGAGGAAGACTTTGTGTTTGCTTTTAGATTGCACCTAGAAAATAGCGAAACCAATCGACAAGCAGGTGAAATACTTGTTCACTCTGTAAGAGATTTAGGGGATTGAAGTTGGTCGAGTATGATTGATTATACCAGCTTTTAAAAAAAAATTACTATAGTGTGTTTTCTTGTTTGAATTTTACACTTCTTTAGTTTTTATGCTGCCATGAGATAAAATCAGTTAAGAAGAACCATTGACGTCATCACTGACAAAGAAGGCAAATTTCCTTCTCTCTAAGTCCCTCCCAGTTTGAAGTGAGACAGACGATAAGGCGTGTGGTTCTTCTTAACTGATCTTATCTATACTTATTTCTTCTATTAGTTCTAATATATCTATTAATTCGATTAGGATCTATTTATTTATTTATTATTAAAGATTCAATTATCAATTCCATATTGATTCTTTAAAAATGTTCGATCGGAATTAGGTCAGGACTGTATGCTGGCCACTCCGTAACCCGATAACCGACTTATGTAATGTAATCTTGCACGATTGTTGAGATGTGCAGCTTCGCATTTTCATGCAAGTTTAGCCGGCTAAATCAACATTTCTTATCATCGAAGCTTCAACAAGCCCTTTAAACTACAACTTCCACTCAAAATATTTGGTTTCTCAGTGAATGTGTCTAGCTCGGAGGATTGATTTCCAAAGTACTTATGTGAAGTTAAAAACAAAATTTCGAATGTTATCATTTTGGTTAGAAACAACCACATACATTCGTTTCATATAGTTGCTACGCATAAAAACGAGAAGAATTCTTGAAAAATATAAACTTGTATCAAAGCATAATCTATTAAATTGTCTTTCTAACGGGCTACTGTTTTTCTACTCGCGTGCGGTGAAGTGCTATCTTTCGCATCCATTTCGGAGCGGAAAGAGTACTTTACTGCACCCAAATGAGTAAGGAATAGTATATTACCTAAGAAGTCCGGAAAGTACTGTTTTTTTTTTGGACGGGTAGATGCTTGGCGAATTCCATAAAAGATAATTTGGTACGTATCACTAATTATAGTAAATGGTTTTTGTTATATGTATAAATAAATATGTCCAAAATTCAAGTATTGTGATTGAACTATTCCTAAAACTTTTATTCCAGCAGAGGCTCTCCGCTACTTATAGACAGTATTTAATTATAACAACATATAACAATTAACAAAAATTAGCATAAGCATGATTCTGTATCTCTATCACCATAGATTTTAGTATACAGGTCTGGCAAGCCAGCATCTTACAGGCCAATTTTAATGCAATAGAATGAAATGTATAGGAAAAGTCTAAGGTTAAATAGAGAACAAAAACGATTCCTCCTGTTCCACCTCCAGCATGCACTGCTGAGAACGCTGGAGGTGGAACAGGGGAAATCGTTTCCGTTCGCTATTCAACCTTAGACTTTTTCTAGACATTTCATTCTATTGCATTTAAATTGGCATGTAAGATGTTCACTTGCCAGACCATAGCACACTGTCTCAAATACTAATGATCCTTCTTTTTAAGGTCGACGACATTCAATAGAAGCTGAATCCCGTATTAGGACAATACTGGGAATCAAAGTTGAAATCAATAATCCATACCAATGTTTCAAGTGCTTCAAACAATACAAACACAAGCACATTTTGAAACGTCATGTCGAGTTTGAGTGCGGAATGGAACCCCAGTTTCAGTGCTCCATTTGCAGTCACAGAAGCAAACGTAAACACGATATGACTTTGCATATTCGAAGTAGACATATGATAACAGAATAGGAGCCAATTATTTTCGTGAGGAATTTGTCAGCAAAATAATTATTATGTTGCCAAAATTTCCTCCACTATTTTCACTTCTTAGACTAGCGCTTTTCATTATAAAGGGATTTTTGAAATATAAATTGGGTTTCAGATGGAAAACTATATAATTGTACCATACCTTTTTCCATGTAAATATTTTAGGATATGGGTGGATTTTAAATTTTAGAGATGTATATTCTACTGCATAATTTCAACATAAAAATATATCTTTTTTTTTTTAAATAGGAGGATTGCTTTTATTTTTGAATCCTAGGTTTTTAAAGCTTACTGATGGATACATTCAACCTTTTTTTTATGCTGCTATATGAGCTACTACTTATTTTCATATTTTATTTAGAGGGTTCGTAAAGAAATGGAATATACGTCCGCTTTTTGAGGCGGAGAATCATTTTGAAGGTAAGAGACCAATCTTTTGCTGCTAAATGTTTGTATTTTTTTTTTTTTTTAGGTTTCCTATGTTCCTGTACACAAATCATCTGTTCATCATCCCAATTAGTTAATGTTCTTGTAAGGATATTTTCATATCCTATCTACCATGATTCATTAGCAAATTCCGATAATAATTCCAGTTGTTAATGATGAGAGAGGTTTTACCTGGAAATAATTCAAGGCTATTTTATGTTCGACATCGAATAACTTTTGGACCTTGGAGATCTCCTATATACATGCCAAAAGAAAGTCCTTTGAAAATATCTCGAAGTATGTAAATTTCAGAAAAAAAATTGTTCTATGCAAAATAAGAGAAAATCTCTTTTTGTGGAGTAGGCCTGATGGGGAAACAACTCAACAAAAAAAAACGCGCCGTATGCTCTACCGCAAGGTGGTGTGGAAACGAGTTACCAAAATTAACTAAATCTAGAACTAGTATTATATTAGTGAAGCTTCACTGATATTTTGAAGGAACTGATCTTTTTGACAATTAAAAAACTTTCAATGGCTATATCTGAGTAACCAAGCAAAATATAAAAAAAGCCTGAAAATATTTTCTATCATAGGGAGGGGGAACGAAAATGATGTAATAACCGACCTCTTTTCACTTATCCTCTCACCCCCAGCAGCCCCAACTAAATAATCTCAAATAGAAATCCCCTACTTGTTATACCTTATCTGAAAGATCTCAAAAAATGCTTTTCACTGGTACCCTACAAGTAAGGCTCCATTGAAAAGCATTTTTGAAGAGCTTCCAGATAAGGTATCACAAGTAGGGGTTTGACATTCGAGATTATTTAGTTGGGGTGGCTGGGGTTGGGGGGTAAGTGAAAACAGGTTGGTCATCACATCAATTTAGTTCCCCTCTCCCTATTTTAGAAATGGTTGTCGGGAATTTTTTATATTTTTTTTTGGTTACTCAGATATAGCCATTGAATGTTTTCAAATTGACACCCTGTATATAAGTAGTCCACTAAAAATTAAATCACTTTGAATTATTTCCATGTGGAACTACGCGACTTCTGGACTAAATACCATCTGACTTTTTTGAGTACTTTATATCTCGATGGAAAATTTCTTAACACAAACAATGAGAACAATGAACATAAAGTACAGAGAACAGCGAAATAAAATAAATTAAAAAACCAAAATGGATGTCTACAACAAACGTCTCAGCGTGCGGAGACTAGCTGAGAACAAGTCGATTGCTGCGTAGTGGTCATTGTAGTTGCTCATCATGCGTTCAACAAATGCACCCCAGCTATAATTTATTCGATTAGTGGCCACACTGGGCGTTTGTCGAATTGGCACACGGAAACTGATTTCGGAAAGCAGAGGACTACAGGTTATTATCCAGCTTATAAGGAAACAGTAGCAGCTGATCACGCCGTCTTTGTTTCAATGAAACGAGATAGTTGTAAATAGTGTGATGCGCCTGGGTATCACGTAGATGCTTTGTGTTACCTTTCACAGAGCCCAGCATCCTAAACCATCTGTTGACAATATTTTCAATAGTACAACGGTCGAAATTTGATCGTGGCGCCATCTAAGACAAAACTTCAACACCAAGCAGCAATTTTCGCTGCAATATGGTCACTGAGTATCTAATTGGCCGACCAAAATTCAGTTCGTGGGAAAAACCCAGAATAGGAAAACCTATTATCCACTGATGAGAAAATATTTGGTTTGATTTTTTATGCCTATTTTCAATGTTGTTTTATAAAGTTAAATTACTGTCAAAGATCACTCCCAAATAATTGTAAACGCTAACATGTTCAATTATTTGGTTTTCGATGGTGTAGCAAAAAGGCTATGGACAGTCCGGTTCTTGAAAAATTGCATTGACGTTCAGTTCCAAAAAAAATGTTCCTGTACCAATCATGCAACAAGCCGGTCCAAATCCGCTTGAAGGTTAACTTGTGAACCCGTTTTCGAAAAAAAATTTGAGTTTATCGGCGTACAGAAGAAACTGAGCGTTGTGGAAGCAGCTGGCCACATCATTGACGAAGAGGAGGAATAGTATTGGACCTATGTATGATCCCTAGGGAACACCGGAGAGGACTTTTGTTTCCTGGGATGCTGCCCCACCCACAGTACAACACTGCCTGCGCTCGCTAAGGTACGACTCAATCCAGCACCTCATAGAGGTACCTACTCTTTCTCAAATTTTTCTTTTCTGAGAGTCTATTCTACCTATCTTATTATTTTATTAAAATACTATGCTGCAAGTTTATATTATCAAAACAATACTATTAGTCTCGAACGTCACCTGTTAAGATTTTGCTAGTGTTTTGGGAGCAAATCTTCTACCGTCAAATCTTGTGATTCTGGAAATGAGGGCTTCATCCAGAAAATATCATAGGCAGAAAATCGTTCATATATTTCAAGAACCTGATCAAATCATCAAAATGTTGTCATATTTTATTTTGTTCGTTATTATTTAATTTGTCTCTAATTAAATTATTGTAGGGGCTGAGATATGTCTACTAACAGTGAATAACAATTTCTTCAATGGTTTCCTTTTACTAGATAATCTTTCTTGATTTTTAATCCTCAACGTTTTTAGGTGAAAAAGTACGATACTCATGTGGAAACTGTGATAGATCCTACACTCTCAAAAGGAATTTGAGAAGTCATCAAAAAGAGGAATGTGGAGTTCCGCCTTCATTTTTTTGTACCTATTGTTACAGAGGGTTCAAAAAAAAACATCATTTGTCCCGACATTTATTGACACATATGCCTCCTCTTGAATCTACAGGATGTTTCGTAGATGGGAATAATTTAAGCAACTTTAACGACAATATTTAAACATGCAAAAAATATGGCAAGCCTTTTAACTATCCAGCCGGATACTCTAAATAAAGTAACGTCAAAGAAGTGTAAGTAGAAGAATGATGTTAAAAGTACTTTTCATAGGAGAATCTAGTCCTAAACCGCAAATTGAACTCATTCGAAAATGTATATGTCGTAGCCACATTGTAAATTTCGCCATTTTATAAAACAGCTAGCCACTTTCTAAAACGCGGCCACATTGTAAAATAATTGTTTATTTTGCATTATTTTGTAATATGGCTAGTTCCTTTAGCCATTTTATAAACTGGCCGATCAAGTACGAGCCATATTCTTAAACAGGAATATAAACTTGTTTTGCATTTCGCCGGAATTCGTGAAGAAAAAAACAGGAGTTGGAATCAATACTAGATCTAAACGAAAATTGTAGAAACGGCCCTGCTTACCTCAAATTTATGGCTTACCTGCATAAATGATTATAAAACAAAGATTTTCTCCACAGGTAAAAAGAAATACAAAGATAACTTAACAAACATACACTAAATACTTCTCAGCTGAATAGTTTCAAAAATGCAATTGTGAAAGAAGTTTATTATCGGCAAACAAATAACCTCACTTTAATTTTATATTGTGGCTGATAGTGATATCTGCCGAAATGCAAAACAAAAAAAAAGTATTTCTGTTTTAGGATATGGCTTGTACTTGAACGACCAGTTTATGAAATGGCCAAATTGCAGAATAATTTAAAATAACTGATTATTTTACAATGTTGCCGCGTTTTATAAAGTGGCTAGCCGTTTTATAAAATAGCGGAATTTACAATATGGGTACGACATATACATGTAAACAACTGTTATACAACAAATTGTACGTCCATATTCTTTACTCTCATTCAAAATTTTCAAAACTTTTAATTATAGGTACTCATTGATGCAAACGACATTTTACCCATAATGAGATAAGGACTTTTTTGATAGGGTGAATGCAACTGCTTACCTTTTTGATTGAATTTTAAATGACTTTTGTACACAGATCTTGAAATATAGAATAAAATCTCTAAAAACTGTAAATGATTACCTATTCCATTGAATTATACATATCTCGAGGAAATTAGAGAGAGCTTGAAATAGGGAGAAGAGTTTTCAATTGGACGGTAAAGCGATCGGATTCAGTGAGCTTCCTTTAAATAGTTTTGCTGCGCATTGTACTAGTGCTGGCTTTGTCGTGATTTTTGTGTTATTTGGTCTTGAATTAAATTTATTTAAGCTTGCTTGGTGTGCTGCTTGGATTCTCACATATCTTCAATACCTATGTTGATTTTGAATTGTTAATTTTTTTTTGTTTTTTGTTTTTTTTTAACCAAAAAGATTTTGTCCGGAATGTTCCAGCTTGCAGGCATCTTTGAAGTAAATCAAAAATTTGACTTTTAAACCAAAATTTGGATATAGGCTCAAAATGTGATTAGAAACAAGATTTTAATTTTTTTTTTTTTTTGATTCTAAAAATTGATAGTTGCTAAATGACATTTGACACGCCTCATAAGTCAAAAATGTAAGGTTTTTTTTCTGTATCACGCAAAAGCTAGTGCTAAAAACAGTTTGTGAAAAAACGAATGCAAGCATATTGTGATAATTTAAAATTTTTATTCCAATTTTTTTTTGGATTGATCATCTCATATTATCTGGATAATGAGATTTATCATAAGTAGTGGGCCAGAAAGTTTTACGAGAGGTTCCATATTTTTTATATGTTTAAATAATTTTTTTATAGCAAATTTTCCACCTAAAATATGTTATTATTATCAATATTTCACCTAACTATTATTGTTAAAAAATAATATCTCCAATACATTTTGATACAAATTTAAACTGGATTTTTAATTTTTGTCATTTAAATATTTTTTATACATAATGTAGGCTGCCTTTGTTTGTAGACTTCATGCATTTGATTTACTTTTATAGCAATAATAGCTTTTTTTTGTGGAGTACCTTCAGTGGAGTGTCAATTGCGCGATTTCCCTTTCGCTTTATAAAGTTTAAAGGGCGTGTG